CAGCTTCAAAATCACCTGGAGAACTCATGAAAAACACACTGCTAGGCCCCTATCTGCAGAGTTTCTGTTTCAGAGGATTGGTACGACCTTGCCTTCCTAACAGTTCCCAGGACGTGCTGGTGCCCTTGGCCCAGGAAGCACCACTGCTGCAGCCACCTATTGGCTGCCATTGCTATGATGGGCCATGGCAGGGACAGGAACAGGCACATCAGGAAACACTTGTGAAAGGAAGACAGACAAACCACTGAACCTCTAACAGGAAGGTTTCCTTCAAGGACACAGAGATTGCCAATATCCCCTGAGGGACATCAAACCCAGCCATGACCACCAGGAAAGCCACATGTCTACCAGAACTTGTGCAGGCTTGCGGGAAGATGGGGGGAGGACTGACCAAGACACCTTGACATTGCTAACTCATCTCAGATCTTCAGAGAATAGGGGAAAGATGGTTCTGCTGCTGGGATGGCAGAAGAGGTGCAGCGTGCACTGTGTATGCTGAATCTCACCTCCTCACTGGCCACTGCCTTGGTTTAGCTGCAGGGAGTGGCTGACGGCCACAGCTGGGGAGCCTGAGAGTCCTAGTTCCCACTGCCCGAAGATCCCCTGCTTCTCTCCGCTGCTGGTCAAAGCAAGCCCACTGAGCCTTTTAGGCACAAATATAAGCCTGCAGGAGTGTGGGTGTTTTCTCTAATGAAGCCTCACTTGGCCAGTGGGGGACAGGAACCAGTGAGAAATAGTCCCCTCTGCCATGAGTGCAGAGGGTTGCAACACATTTCACAGTTCCCCACGTAGTCCCCATAGGGTCTAGCACCAGCTGCCCACTGTTAAAACCAGCTCCTAATTTACCCTTGGATCGGCTTTCCTTCTTCCCTCTGTTCCCATTCTTTAGGTCACTATTCCACTTCTGTTTCCTGGGATATCTTTCTAAAATAAACTGCCTGTTGCAAATCCTTATCTCAGCCTCCACATATTTGTTGACCACAAGCTATGACAAGACATAAACAAGCGCTCCACTCACAGTACAGGTGAAGAAGAGGAAATAATTTGCACACTCATTCCTGGTCCCAAGTGCTTGGCACAAGGCTTCACATTTAGCAAATGGTTTCACAATAAGGACTGCCTGCATACAAGAAAATGCAATGGTAACAAACTCCAGAAGACTGGCTGTAGTATACTAGCTGATTACTGTGTTGTGTAACACAGACGCCTAGAGATACAGGCCACCAGAGCGACAGTAGTTCTGTTCCCTTGTGGTTCACTCACTCGCTCACTCTCCCTCTATGCCTCTCAAATAAAAATAGATGCACTGACACCGCCTGCAGTGCAATGGGTTAAGCTGCCAATTGCAACATTCACATCACAGAGCAGAGTGCCGGTTCAAATTCCAGCTGCACCACTTCTGATCCAGCTTCCCACTCACGGAAAAGGCAGCAGATGATGGACCAAGTGCTTGGGCTCCTGCCACCTGTGTGGAAGACAAAGATGAAGTTCCTGGCTACAGACTTTTACCTCATCTATACATGGCTGCTGTGACCATTTAAGGACTGAACCAATGGAAGAAAGTATTCTCTTTCTCACTCTCTCTCTCACTGTGAGTGAGAGTGTGTGTGGGGGGGAGGGAGGGGGGACAGAGAGAGAGAAGAAAGTCTTACAAATGAAAGAGTCATAGCCTGGCCTCACCAGAAATGACAATGTAGAAGCTGGAGGTTGTAGGACAAAGTACAACTGAATGGAGTCTTGAAACAAAGCTCCATTAGGAAGATATATAACAGACATTGTAACATGGACCAAGTCACAGAGAGGTGAATCTACATATTGAGGTGGGAGGGTAGGCCTTGGATGAAACCATGGAGAAAGATGAAAAACACAAATTCTCACTCATCCTTAGAGAGCTGTTACTAAGCACCTGTAATGTGCTAAGCCCCAGAAAGTGAGTTTAAGAAAGAATATAAGAAATGAGTCCTGTGCTGTCCCACTCAGTATTCACATCCCATGAAAGTGAGGAATAGCAAAGGTCTTCACACCCTGCCTAGGACAATGGAGGAACACAATAAACATTTGTTGATTCCCAGACTTCCCCCCCACACATCATTTAAATCACATGATTTAAGTAGCTCTCCACAACTGATCATGCATTTGGCCAAATAGTTAAGATTCCCACACCTAACATGTAGTTCCAATGGTCAATTCCCAACTCTGATTCCTGACTCCAGCTTTCTGCCAGTACAGACCCTTGCAGGTGATGACTGCTCAAGGAGCTGGGTTTCCCACAAGGATAGTCACATTGATTTCATAGCTCCAGGCTCCAGCCCAGCTTACTCCTGGGGAGTAAACAGTGAGTCAGAACACTTAGTCCACCTCTTCTCTCTCTCTCTCAATCTCTCTTTGATTCTCTAATTAATTTACTTCAAAACATCAAGATCAAATGTGTTTCCAGCCTTCGAGGCCATCACCATCTGCTCAGTTCTGACCTCACTACCTTCCACTTGCCACATGATTGTTTTCCTTCCAAATACATTGAGCAGGTAAGAAAAATAATGTTCATGGTCTTGGCATTGTGCTATAGTTAGTCAAGCCACCTCTTGAAGTGCTAGCCTCTCTCTCGTGTGGTTGCCGGTTTGAATTCCAGCTACTCCACTTTTGATCCAGCTCCCTGCAAATACCCTGGGAAAGCGGCAGCAGATGGTCCATGTGCTTGAGCCCCTGCACCCACATGGAAGAGCCAGAAGCAGCTCTGGGTTTCTGTTTGCAGCCATTGGGGGAGTAGACCAGCAAATGGAAGATTGATCTCTCTGGCACGCTCTCTTTTTCGTTCTCTCTCTGTAATTCTTTGAATCAAATAAATGAACTTCTAAATAAGTCACATTTTATGGGTTTGTTCAAGTAACTTCTCTGAAATGTTTCCTTTATTTTCTCTCTATCTTTATGTACTCTTTCCAAGTATCCAATGCAAGGATGATTTTACTTTTTTTTTTTTTTTTAATCTGTGGTTTACCTTTTCTCAGTCACATCCCCAACACACTGTGAAGTAAAGTTTCTGGCACGTTTACACCAATGAATTTTACTCATGTGGTTCTTGCAACCAGGTTTGAGTTGGGACAGAGTTGGCACCATGAAATACTAGGTAAGTACCAAAGGGAAGACTCCACATTACTAGGCACTACATTTTAAGATAACCTGTTACAAAGCCTTCCTCCCTGAAACCTAGATAGTGAAAAACACTGATTCATCAGCCTTGTAAACAATCAGAATTTTCTCAAAGGAACTACTACACTACAAAGGAACTCACAACTTTACACTGGACAAGATGTTACCAGAATAGCAGGTGGCACACAGTAAGCCCCTATTAATTACGTGTGGCACTGAATTAAAATAAGCAGCTTCCTTTCACACCTGTCATATAGTAAACGGTGTGGTGATGATTGCAAATTATGAAGTTTGTAAGCAGCACTGGAAGTACAATCCAAACCAAACATGCAGAAAGCCAGGTTGCCCATCTTACACACTGTGTTATCCCTAACAGGCTTGAGTTACTTTTTTTGTTTTCCCCAGGAATCCCCCATCTGTCAACGGCTTACTTTAGGGCTACCATCCACCTCCACCATTAAGAGCTAACAGTGAGAATCTGCCTAACCCTGGCCACAGAGTCTCAACGTGGACTTTTCTAGTTGTGGCTAACAGGTTGGGTATATAGGTGCTGCTGAACGTTCAGTGGTGTACTCACAATAGACTGAGCCATAAGGACACCATTTCAGTCCAGTGGACAAATGAGCATTAAGTTAGATGTCTTATTCCCCTATGTGATCTGGAACTAACACTAAAAAGATAGTAATAAATGGTAAGGAGGAGACATTTCTAAAACTCTAATCTATACCACACAAGACCACTTTGAAACACGCCAACATCAACCAGTGAGACAATCAAGGAAAGCTCGGCAAATTTATCACTCATCTGGCTGTGTTTTTTTGTTTGTTTGTTTTTGTTTTCCTCCTCCAACCAATCTTCACACCGTGAATAACCCTCATTAGACCATTGTTCTGCGACTTGCTCTTGCTGGGCCCTTCCACACCGTGCACCTCGCCATGCAGCCAGATCCGCCCGGTGACACATGAGCTCTAAAGTGGGTGGATAAAAATAACCTGGTCCTCAAAAAGACATGATAAACGCCAGGCAGCTGAGTCACTTTGAAGCCCATGTGGGCTCCTGAAGGGGACACACACTCTCCTCCGACCTCTCCCACTTCCACGAACAACCAGGTGAAGGCAGCCGCCATCCTCTGCGGGAGCAGGGCGGGGATGCGTCCTCACTTCCCCCTGCAGTCCCTGAGGTCACGACTCGGGAATGAACTTTTAATAATTTATGCCCGTGCACGTCAGACCCAGTGACTCACTTAGGAGGGGAACGGGGGACGGGGACTTTTGGGGAAAGCCGTCATCGTGGGGTGAAACTCCTATTGCTGCCTCCCGAGTGCAAGCACCCCAAGGTCTCTTCTGACATCCTAATGGCGAAGCGGGGCATAGGAAGAATTGGGATGTGCAGACGGAGGAGAGCTCAGGGAGGAAACCAGAAGTGCCTGGGAGTGGGAATTCCTGGGCAAAGTAACGGTCCCAGAAAGGGAATGGCTGTGTGCGTCCCCAAAGGGGAAACCTATCCCATCTACCCTCCCGCCTTCCGCCCTAGCCCGGGAAGGACGCCCCGTGCGGTTGGGGCCACAGAGCTCCTCCACTCCCAGCACCTTTGGGGTCGTGGCCAGGCTGCTGGGAACACAGCCCCTGCAGCCCAGGAGGCTGGCGGGGCAGAGCTGCAGCGGCCTCGGGGCGCGCACCAACTGTGCGCCCAAACTGCAGTGCCCCTCAGCAACTCTGTCGCCCCGAGGAGGAGGAAGAGGAGGAGGTCCCCACAGCCACTGCGCATCGTCACCCCAGGCTTCACGTGCCTAGTGGGTCGGTGGCCGCCGCAGGCCGCCGCTCGGCGACCCACCCCCGAGGCGCCTCACTTACAGGGGAGTCGTAGGAGAAGGCGCACTCGTTCTTGTAAACCCGGTCCCCGGAGCGGGGTACTCGAATCGTGGGCATGAGCGGCACGAGCAGCTCGCCGATGTCTCCTGCAGCCATCTTCCTGCCACCGCTACCGCCCGGCATGCTGAACAGGGCGCCCCGGCGCTGCATGGCCGCGGCGCGCACCGAACCGACCCAGAGTCGGAGTCGGAGCCGGAGTCGGAGCCGGAGCGCGGCGGCGGCGCCAGCGAGCGAGCGGCCAGGCGGGCGGCGAGCGGACGTGCCGGCTGCGCGGGCGACAGGAGCCGAGGCGAGCGGGCAGGCGGCGGGAGCGGGCCGCGGGGCGGGAGCGGGCCCCCGGGGCCTGGGGAGGGGGGGACGCTGCTATTTTTAATCCAATGGCGAGTCGCCGGCCCAGCTGCAGCGTCAGGCGGGGCGCCGGGGAGCGCCAGCCGCAGCGCGCCGGGGAGGGGGCGCCGGAGGGGGCCCCGCGCCTGGGCCGGGCTCCGGGGTGAGGGCGGAAGGCAGCCCCGCGGCGTGGGGCGCACGAGCCCAGAGCCGACCCGGACCCCGCACGGAGCAGGCGACCAGGGGGCGCTGCTGGCGCTCGGTGGGCGGCTGCCGTGCGGCCCCGCCGGGGTTTTCCACCCCAAATGACCAGCCTGCCAAGGGGACAACTCCGAGAATGCCAGCACAAAGAGCAGCACCCGGGGAGTGGTCATAAACGCTTGCTCTGAAAACAGCCGTGGACAGGAGCCGCGGCTTCCCCGCGTCGGACAGGGGTGGGACTCGATGTCCAAGTCCTGCACCTAAGGCAGGGTACAGATCTCTGTGTGCACCCTGCATTTCTCAGTTATCTCACTACACCCTGTTCCCCACTTTTGAAACATCCAGAGCCAATGAGAAGAGACTAAATTAAGGGTTGGGAGGAGGTAGACAAGGATAAAGGTTTTCTGAGGTGAGGGGGCAGGAGTGTCGAGGCTTTTACTGGCAGCCCAAGGGAGGTCTTTTATTTGTCTCTATTTTCGGAGTATCTCCAATGTGATTAAAGGTCCCAATGTCAGGAGCGTCCTGATTGAGGCTCATCCTTGCACACATGCCTCCTCCCGTCTTGCTCATCCATTTCCTCAAAATAAATAATGAGTGGAGTCGGTTTGGGAGGTTAATTTACAAACAGGCATGCTTCACAGCATACTCTCATTTTCTGCAAAAACCATGTACAAGATGGGTTCCGTGCCATTAAGGTTCCCTAACGCCACCCGAGACACTCCTCCCCCAGGCTACACACAGATCACTGCTTAGGGAAACCAACAAACAGTGAACGAATGAAAACGCTGGTTTCTGTAAGCCTCTCCCAGGCACATAGTCCTTAAAGTCTTCCTTCTTACAGCATCTTCCTGTTTCCCTCCAGATCCCTCCATCACTTCTACACTGTCCAGCAAGGTTCAGCATGCCACGCATTCCCAGGACCCAGGACTCCCACTACCTGAGGAAAATGGAGGAGAGATCACACCCTGATTCGATTAAAACATTGAGTCTTAGATTAAATGCAAAATAAGCCAACGAAGCACGATTTTTTCCCATGACAAGGTTCATAAAGATACATTGAGTCGATCTGGGTTTGGGAAATAGATCTTCATTATACCTTGTTGAGGGGAATAAAGGTCATAACCCACTCTCAAGGCAAATTTGTTGACACCCCTCAAAATTTAATATGCCTGTTGTTTTCTCCACCAATTTCATGTCTAGAGATTAATGCCACAGATAAATTCAAAGTATTCAGATAGTTGTTGAAGCTCCACTTATAGTAACAAGAGACCAAGAACAACCACCTGGAGCCAGCCATCAGCACAGTGTGGTTATCGTATTAAAGTTTTATTTTACTTATGTGACAGACGGATTGTCCCAGAGAGAAAGAGAGAGATCTTCCATTCATTGCTTCGTTCCCAAATGTCTGCAATGAAGGGGGTGAGGCCACGGCAAAACCAAGACTCAGGAATTCACATGCGCCTCACACAGGGCTGGCAGAGGCCCAAGCCCTTGGACCATGACCCGCTGCTTTCCCGGGCACTGGAACAGGGAGCTGGGTCAGAAACAGAGCAGCTGTAAATCACACCGGAGCTCAGACACTAGATGTGAGTTCCAGTCTCGATCTGCACCCGATTCCAGCTACCTGCTAAGGTGTACCTGAGAGGTACAAGAACTTGGGTCCCTGCCGCAGCTTGAGAGACCCTGATGGAGTTCCTGACTTCAGCATCGCCCATGCCAAACTGCTGTGGGCATTTGGAAAGTAAATTAGCAGAGCAAACAGTTCTCTTTGTTTCTGTCACACACACAGACACAAGTGAAAATAAAGTTTAAAACTATAAAGTTCCACCTGCAAAAATTGGTTAAAATACCATCCCCCAAAAAAGAATAAAATTACTGTCTGTGCGATGATGTGGTGGTTTCCACGTAATATTACTGGATAAGAAGAACAAGAAGCAGATCAGCCTATAAAAGCAAGGAATACACGCAAAGCTAATACAGTTTACCAGACACCCTGGCACGTCCTGCATGCTGCAGGCCTTCCAGTTGTGTGTGCCCTTGATAAATATGTTGAATGGTACTTCTCAAGATTTATATATTCATGCATATGTATGTGTGCATACTGTTTGCTCTTCAGATGTCTTTAGAGGAATCCCTGAGACACTGACAGTCAGGATGCTTGGAGAGGAAACAGGAAGCCTGACCTTGGTGGGGAACTTACTCTTTACCTTTCTGTACAAGTCAGAAGCCCCTGGAAAAACACTCCAAGCTCAGGCACCAGCAACAGAAGCAGAAGCTGAAGAGAATTGCTACATCGCTGTAACACCGCATCCATGTTTTCTTCATACACCAGCACACATGGAAGCATGTTTTTTAATATTTTTTTTTTGGAATGGCAGATATACAGAGAGGAGTAGAGACAGAAGACCTTCCATCTGATGGTTCACTCCCCAAGTGGTTGCAAGGGCTGGAGCTGAGCCAATCCAAAGCCAGGAGCCAGAAGCTTCTTCCAGGTCTTCTACACAGGTGCAAGATCCCAAAGCTTTGGGCTGTCCTCGACTGTATTCCCAGGCCACAAGCAGGGAGCTGGATGGGAAGTGGAGCTGCCGGAATTAGAACCGGCACCCATATGGGATCCTGGTGTGTTCAAGGCGAGGACTTCAGTCGCTAGGCTATTGCGCCAGGCTCTGGACAAGGATATTTACACAGCTCACTGAAGTAGTCAGTCAAGAATGCTTCCTGCAGCCAGAGGCTGCTAATCTGGGGGCTTCAGTCACCACAGGTCCCATCTGTGGCCTCCATGGAGAAATACGACACCTGAATTCCATCTCTGCACACCAGAATACCAAGAGTGTACCAGATGGAAACAGAAAAATGGAAATCATAAAAACAGGGAGTGATGGTGTAATTTAATGTGTCTACTCAAAGATGCTTATACAACTCTTAGAACAATCATTATGAAAGTGGTTCTTTAGGGGCTGGCTTTGTGGCATAGTAGGTAAAGCCACTGCCTGGGACTCCAACATCTCATATGGACACAATTAGAGTCTCAGTTCTTCCGTTTCTGATCCAGCTCCCTGCTAATGCCCCAGGGAAAACAGTGGAGGGTGACCTGAGCTCCTGTACCTACATGGGAGTCCCAGAACAAGTTCCTGGCTTCTGGCTTTGGACCAACACAGCTCTGGCCACCGTGGCTATTTGGAGAATCCACCAATGCCTGGAACAGCTCTCTGTGTGTCTTTCTATTTGTGTGTGTGTGTGTAGGGATGAGGGGCATGTGTGGCCGTGTCCTTTTCTCTATATAATTCTTTCAACGAAATAAATCTTTAAAAAATTATATAAATCTTTATGATATAACATGCAAGATCTAGTACTCATACAATGCTATCACATCAGAGTAAAAATAAATATACCTTTGGCTAGGACTGAAAAGACATGTAAATTGAAAACGTTATGTTTGGGACTTAGTTACTGGACTTGATCTTTGTTTTCAAAATGTTTCCAATGATCTTAGCTTTGTTTTACAATATAAAAAATTACCATGATAAAAATATTAATAGAAGAAACTTCACTGTTTCCAGATAATGGCTTAATTGTGTTACTTTAGAGAGAAAAGTCTAGTTTAATTACTGGAGCCTTCAAACTTAATTGTACAAATTCAACATATGAATTTGTCACTGCACTACTATATTAGTAGGCCAGTTCGTTGCATATAAGTCTCCTCTAATGAACAAAATTAAGAGTGATAAGAAGGACCAGTGTTGTGGCACAGCAGGTTAAACCAGAAGATGGCCCACTGCATCCGTGTGGGAGACCACGAAGAGGCTCCTGGCTTCTGAATGGCTCAACTCCAGCTACTGCAACCCTTAGAGGAATGAACCAGCCAATGGAAGGTGTGTGCCTCTCCCTCTCCTCTCTTTGTAAATCTGCCTTTCAAACAACATGGCTCAACTAAAGGAGTCATTTTTAAAAAGTGTGATACTGAGCAAACAATTTTAGCTTCTCATATAAATGCAAAGCCTTGCCACAGAGCTCTCAGAGCTAAGAACCACCTTTTTGTCACTCACATCAAGCTGGTGGGACTGCAATGTCACAGATGCTCACAAGCTGCCTTCCTTGAGGTCCAGGGCGGAGCCAGGGCTCGGCTGGCCTCCGGCATACGGCACTCCTCATCTTTCAGAATCTTCCTCCTCCTCCTCCACTTCAGTCACCTCACCTTAACTGTCCCCTCTGGAGAAACGAACTCGCCTCCCAGCCTCAGCTGAAAGCTCTGAGCACTCATTTCTTTCTTTTTTTAAGATTTATTTTATTTTTATTGTAAAGTCAGGCATACACAGAGGAGGAGAGACAGAAAGGAAGATCCTCCATTTGCTGATTCTCTCCTCAAGCAGCTGTATTGGCCGGAGCTGAGCCGATCCAAAGCCAGGAACCCGGAGTATCCTCCCAGGTCTCCCACACGGGTGCAGGGGCCCAAGGCTTTGGGCCGTCCTCGACTGCTTTGCCAGGCCACAAGCAGGGAGCTGGATGGGAAATGGAAGCAGCTGCTGGAATTAGAACAGGTGCCCATATGGGATCCCGGCACATACAAGGCAAGGACTTTAACTGCTAGGCTACTGCACCAGGCCCTGAGCACTCATTTCCATTGTCTCAATCCTTTCAAGGCTGGTGTATTTCTCCACGAAGCCTTTTCTGAATGCTCCAACCTTTAGGGACCAATC